CGAGCCTGTCTAATATGGCAAAGGCAAGCCTATCCATGTGGCTCTTCTTCCACATCATCCATATATAGCATATACAGCTGTGCTCTACGTCCAGCAGCCCTACTTACTCCCCTATTCATAAAGCACATCTGCCTACTCCAAATGCATCACAGTCCTATTTTCTGATGTGTGAGCCACGCTTTTTGCAGCTGCACTAACCAATCTTTGCCTGTGCCCCTCTAAGCCAGTGCCATCCCCAAAAAACACTCCAGTTTTTCTATGTGGAGCTCTTCTTTCCATTCACCCAGAGTAGCTGCACAGGCATGTACAGCCACACAAACTAGGGCAACCTGAATTCATAAAAGCAGGCAAGCTGTTGTTGGTTTTGTCTGTTTTTAGCACTGCTGCACAGCTGAAGGTGGAAAAATGGATGCAGGCATTTAACTTCCTGCTCTCTAAACACAAAGCATTTTTCACCGTTGCCAAGATGTTAATTTCCAATCTCTGATTCTAAAATAATCTGACATCAATTGTAAGGCAGCACCTCCTGGGATAAATTTGTTTTTTATGAGCCTCAAAAGAAGACATGCCATGTAAACTATAGTGTTGAGTGTTGCTCCATAAACTGGCCTGAATTTAGGTTTTGTTATTTACAGCTAGAGCAGCAATGCATTTCAAAGCACTGGTTGGATTGCAGCTAGGAAATTGAAGATGAAAGATTTGACCTTTAAAAATGTGACCTCTTTGTCTAATGAAAGTATAGTCACCTCTTCTTCCTTGCTGCTATGAAGGCTGACCTTCACCCTCCAGGCTTTGAAGTGTCACCTTCAGTTTTACACAGGAGAATGAAACATACTTCTCTCTGCAGGCTTTCAGTATTTTTTGATCATAGACACTGACAGTGAGTCATCAATTAGATAATCAGTTTTGTATATCCCTGGAAATTAGCTGAGAAAATGATGGAGAAATGTCCCCTCGAATATTTGTGCCTAAGCAGACAGATCCTGCTCAGCCAGGCTTAAATCCCTTTGTGTTTCAACAAACATTTGAATTGCCACTCTTTGTTCACAGGGATATTTGGAGAGGGACCGTTTATCAGTGCTTGTACACAGACAAATCCATGCTGCAGGAATTGGTACTAATGTGGTTAACCCCACTGTGGGTGTTTGGGAGGGTGCGAGGAAACACAGGGAGATCAGGGAACAAAGCAACTAACACTTTAGCCCAGATCCCCATGATGGATGTCTGGCAGTGGTCAGGAAGAGGATGAATCCTTGAGATGTGGTGAAGTCCTTGACCAGAGACACAACATTTGTGGTCCTTCCAAGGCTCACAGAAAGAGGGGCCTGAGCAGGAGCTGGGCAGCTAAAGACAAACTCCTTATGTGAACTGCCCTGCTCTAGCTCTGACCTTAAAGATAAATGAAATGGACTTGTTTGGGTAGAAGAGGGACACACTGATAACTGTTTAGTACACGGTTCAAAATCTGACTCTTCTCTGAATGAAATGGAAAGCTATCAGCTCTGCTGTCTAGAGATAAGAAAATTGGGTATCTTGGCAAGATTTCTGCCGGAGCTGAATCCGAGCTGCAAGCTAATACATCATTCACAGACTCTTCAATCCTTATTATCCTCTTTGCTATCTTGAATCAAAGTCCTCTGTCTTCTGGAGTTCAGTTCTTATTTTAACTGAGACCTTTTTCTGAAGAGCAACCCTCCAATTTAGGGCCAGGTAATAAATTAATAAAACTATAGGTATAAATCATCACTCATGATTTGGAAGAGCTCTGCAATAATTCAGGTCTATAAGGCTTAGCTAATGTTTCTAATGTAATATTCTGCCATGAGATTTAATTTGCCTCACACAAGTCATTTAGTAATCTAAGCATAGATGTAGAACAAACAATTATCTATTAAACCAGTATGTCCAGATACAGTGGTGTGGATTTGTCCATCACTAGATATCATAGCAACACTAAACAGATGATTTTGGATAGATAGCCTCAGCTCTAAACTCTATTCAATTACATGTTTGTTGTTCTCTTGTTGTATTTGTTTTCCATTGAGCATCATGAGCTCTCTCACATGAGATTTCTGGGTACAAACAACTAATTTGCATTAAGTGGTTTTCTTAGTCATCTGTTTGCTATAATGCTATCTGAACATAATGCCACAAAAAGGACTCAGCCTTTTTCTATGGATTTGGCTAGTCATCACTCAGAGCTTATGACTGATGTATAAGATATCATTGAGATCACAAAAGCCACAGTAAGATATAGCCACAATCACCATATATCCAGTTATTCTAATTCAATTGTCCACGGCATTCCCAACATACCCCCATGCACTGTCCTTTGCGTGTGTTAGAAATGATACTGCACTTTTCATAAGGTAATAGCAATTAGCAGTACTATGGTTGGTGGCTGCTTTAGGCAGCATTGTCTCTTAGGTAAGCTCTTAGTTTTCTTCTCAGAAGTCATCACATGGTGGACCTGAATTACTGTGATATCTCTCTTGGTCACAAGGTCCTTCGCTATAAAAATGGTTAAAACTGGCTTTAGTCCAAAGTAACTTATAAAAGAATCTCTTTCAGTGAAAAGCAATGGGAAAGCACCCACCAGTTAAAGAGAAAAATGTAAATGGAACTGAAAAGCAAAAGCCAAGACAGAAGGGTGTTCAGCCAGGACCTGACACTTTCTGTGTCTGATCCATGTTTTTCTCTGCCACCTTTCTCTAGACAGGAAAGAGTGATACACTTTTTGCTGTATCACCTGCCTGTTACCCAGGGAGATAAAATTCCTCAATGAAAAAATTAAATGCAAGGCTGTATTCTTTCAGAACTAAGGCTCATTTTTTTTAATTTTAAATCCCTCACATCTTCAGGCAAAGCAGCATGCAGTATTTAATCTACAGGCTTCTTATTACTGTGTTTTGAATCAATATTAACCATGAACAGTTCTACTTCTGGAAGAGTCATCACCAGTATTGAAGAGCACACTCTTGGATGGGTACAAGTTCCAGAAGAGACCATCAGCATTTCCCTTCCTTGTTTTACTGTGCCTAACTAGAGGAAACTCCCAAAAGCTCAGATAAGCCTGGCACCACACAGCCCTAAACTTGCCTTATCGTCTACCTTCCAGATTTAATTTCTCTCTGCCATCCCTCTCTTGCACTTTAGGCTAAACAACTTCTTTTTAATAAGTGTTGATTACAAAATGCCCTGGTCTCATCCTGCTCAGATTGTGTGAATACCCTACTGCTAGACTGTTCTGAACTTGACCCTCATTCTGCATCCAAATTCAATGATACAGCCATTCATCAGCTTGATTTTGGCAGTGTTATACATGCCCTCTGAAACATTATTTTTGGCAGGCTCTCAAAGCACGAGTGACTTTCAGCATACAAATCTCACTGACTTGCTGCATCGTCTCCTTCGTGATCCTTGATCAGCAGGAGCTCAGGACCTCGGCTGACTAGCACAAAACCCAAAATAGTAGGTTTGATAATGCAAGTCTGAATAACAATTAAAATGTAACCTCGGTGACAACAGCTGGTATGTGCCTCTATGCTGCTGGCTGTTGGCATGTGCTCTGTGACTGCTTTTCTCAAACTACGTTCAGATGAGCTGGTCAGCAGGCAGAAAGTGTCCAAAAAGCACTTGCATATGGTCCCTAAATAAAGCAAATGTTGCTGTAAGTTGAATTGTCCCACCAAGGACTCTCCGGAGATGATAACTGCAAAGAGCAGGCCCCTGAATCACGGACTTTTTTGGGTTAGAGAAGCAGTAGTAATGACTCTACATAACTTTGTAAGCTTTGGAAAATTTTAGAAGCATTTCTATTCTTTCTTTTTGAGTGCCTGCAGTTGAATGTTATTACCCCTGTGCTACCAATGGGGAAATGGCAACACAGAACAGACCTGGGGCTGTCCCAGCGCTTGAGATTTTCTACTTGGTGGACCAGTCCTCAGGCTTTTTCCAAGATTGCTGGATCTCACCTCTTTATGTTCTCAAAACTTCAGAGAAATGTACGAGGTGCCCTGGGATTCTTGTATGCGATATGTGAGTGTCCCTGCAGCAGTTCTTTGGGAAAGCAGTAGGAATTATTTGGTTGCTGCAGTGCTTTACATAACCCAGCAATTAAATATCCATATACAAAGGCATCTGGCCCCCCTGTACCTGAAGAAATGTGGTGGGGATCTGCTCAAGTTCACTAAGGCACAACTGACACCACTGCACCCAAACACCCCTCTTCAGAAATCCCTGCAGGAAAAATCCTGGAGGAGCTACTTGGACAGTGGCACCATCCTCCACTCCCTGAGAGGGAACCCTCAGGACCAGAAGTGATTCAGCAGAAGATGATGCAGTACAGAATTGATTTGCTTGGCAGAGACTCCATTGCAGGTCTACTAACGGTGCTGTACAACACCTCTTTCACTGAAAATGAGAAAAGCCAAAATCTCTGCCTCTCAGAAGGGAGATACCAAAAATGATGCCAGTTAGCATTGTTTTCTGTAGATAATGTACTAACCCAGCAAGTAGGAGCCAGTCTTCATAACAGTAGCCCACACCTTTGTTCTTTCAGCCATGCTAACTGGAGTCTTTGTATTCCTCAGTGGCCTGAGAGGTGAATCCAACCCTTGCCAGAGCAGGTCTTTGTGCCCATTTAATGAAAGAGACAAACACTCAGACTACAAAAATGATTCCTCACTGAGTTGTGCATATTTCATGCCACTAAATAACTGTAGTAAAAGCTGTGTCTTAAGCCAGTAAAACTTACTTTGTTTTTGCCTGATGAGGGATCAGGTTCTGGAAAACACATCCAGAAATAAAACAAGTAAAACAGAGCAAACAGCTCTGTCCTATCAAGGTGATTTATATCCTGTTAACCAGAAAAAGAAAAAAACCAACATGCACAAGAGACATCTGGAAGTGAAAATTAACTAAAACCAGATCAGCAACATAAACAAGAGAGAAATACAGCCTCCAGATCTGTGTAGCTGAGCATGATGGATATCACACACTGGATTGCTTGAGGTTTTTATTTTTAAAAGAACACAACAAATCAGGGAGGATATTTTCCATTTAAAGCTATAACTTCTCAATTCAGGGATTCGTGAGGGCATAAAAGACACAAGCACAGAGGAAAAGAATCATCTGCCAACAGCTCTACATGAGTGTTGGTCCCAGAACAAATTCAATAACAATAACCATTATTTGAAAATCATTTTGGTTGCCAAAATTCATAACTAATATTATTTACAATCTGGTGTATGACCACCTGTAGGTTTAATTGAATTTAAAAAAACATACTAACATACAGTCACGTAAATAGTCATGCACAACTATTTGGAAATAATAGTTTAAATTTTAATTTTAAAAAGGCTAGTTAACCAAGAAAATTCTCCCCTGTAGCAATATCTTCTTACACTGAGGGCTTTTGCTCTTGGTAGTGAAGGAATTTCTGAGTTTGGTGTATTTCCTCTAAATGTGTGAGAAAGGCTGTAGATGCTCCTAGCTGAAGAAAATCTGATTTTCACCTCATTGTTGACCTTGAAACCACTTTACTATTTTCTTGATTATCTAGCTATGAAATCTTCATCCAAATTGCAGTGGGATCTGCCATCTGTTTGATTCCCCTGCAGAACTGGGCAGAGCAGTTTTATGATCTGCTTCCACATCTATAATAGAGTGTATTTTTTTAAAGATGGTAAACGCTACTGATTAAAAAACTGGGGGGATGTTGGTTTAGTTTTTCATTTTCAGTGTTAGCAAAAATATCTTCATGGAGCTTTCATTTGCTCATATCACCCCCAAACCCCACCAAAGCAAACATTTGCTAAAATAATGGTCAGCTAAGATCAGGAAAGATCAGGTTTTGAATTATATACCATTAGATCTTATGTACCAACAATACTGCCTTCCAAATTCAGAGTCCATAACATTTTTAAGCCCAGAAGTAATTTTCAAGTACCAGACTGGTTTTGAAGTGCTGACAGATTAAAATACTCTCTTGCTTTACTTAGAAGTTGACCCAGTTTGAAAGAAAAATCTTCAGGAGAAAGTAAATGTAGAACTTTGTATTTTATTTGGTACTACTTCACAGTCTACAGCAATGCTCTGGAGGTCAGTAATGTTATCCAGGTGCTAAAAACCAAATCCTGCATCAAAACTAGAAAGGTGTACCTGGTTCTTTTATTCCTGCATGGAAATGGTGAGGTCTTTCTGTATGGTACCACATCCGTAGTGCACCCCCTGTGTAACTATTTTGTCCTGCTCCTGCACAGAAATAATAGCATGTCAGTAATTCATAAGTATTACAGAGGCCCTTGCTGTGCTTCTGAAGTCATCAGAACCTAGTGAAAACCAGTATGTAATTTAGTTTGGTTTTGTGTGACTTGTGCAGTCCTTATAGCTTCTTTACTTACGAACATTGTGCAACTGCCGCATGACAACCTCCCCAGGGGAGGTCTGTGGGATAAAAGATCCTGCACAGGTCTGCAGGCTGGGCTGGGCCTCGGAGAGGACTGCAAAATGCAAGGTGGAAGGAAAACACTGAAATGGAAAAAAGGAAGAGTCAGAGAGACTTCATTTTCTAAATCCTGTAGATTCTCAGGCATCAAAGCGATGAATAAGAGACTCGCTGAATTCTTCTGCCCTGGAGGGGAGATTCAACACAAGTGTCACTGGGATGCCTGCAGTGATTCCCAGGGACTGAAGGCATGCTTTACATCCCTCATCCATGAGGCCAGCGTGATGGCAGGAAGACATGGGATGTTCTGGTACAGATCTGTGACTCTTGACCAGGTCAGAAGCCCCATGAGGAGCTGGACAGTGTAGGGGGTTCTTCAGAGATCACTTTCATGGTGTGTTGCAGTGCTGATGTTTATGTTGTCCCTTTTTTATGTTTTCTTTTGCCATATGAGATTGAGTATTGAGTACAAGTGACTTTATATCATAAAAAAAGATATTTCAAATGAGTCAATAAATCATTTATCTCAATTCCTAATACAAACATTTTTCAGTTGGTTGTCCAGGAAAAGAAGAAAAGTTAACAGATACAATTCAGGACAAACGTGAAAATCATACATTTTAAAGGCAATAAACTGATACAAAACTTTATCGGACTCGAGTATACATGTTGGAAATCACATATCTCAAAGGCAATAAGCTCACACAAAACAATAAACTGATGCAAAACTTTATCAGCCTCAACTATACATGTTCAAAAAAGAAAGCCCTACTTGTTTCCATGTTAATTAAAACTCTGAATATCTACAGTCTGAGCCAGCAGACCCAGTGTGACAGACCAGTGATGCAGGTGACTTTTGTGACTTATGCATCAGTGACAGTGGGGTGGGGGCTTGCCTGCCATGCTCTGTTCTAGGGACAATGGCACACATTACAGGACCTGATCTCCTCACTCCCAATGCTTGTTGCTGATACAGCTGTTGGTTTCACCTGCACAGTGGGCTGAGTAGGCAGCTAACACAGCAAGGGGCTAGGAAAGCCTAAGGCAAAGAGGAGGGAAGTGATGATGTCCAAAAGCAGTATGAGAGGAGAAGATTTAGCCACCTTAGGGGCAGGATGTCAGAAAGTGAAGTCAGAGAGGCACCCCCTGGTGTTACCCACCAGCGGCCATAAGGAGGAGGAGGGGAATCATGAAGCAGATGTCCTGGTGCCTTCCCTGTGTACCTCCCTTGCCCTTCTGCTCTTGACTCCCTTTGCCTTGGATGCATTCTTTTGCTCTGGCTGCTCCAGCATATGGTGCTTTGTTTCCAGTGCCAGGGAGGATTTGTGAACAAGCTCCGTATGCTTCTTGGCTTCCTTGGGCTGAGTCCATCTTGGGTGGGTGGCCAGCCTGGAGCACAGGAATGGGCACAGGCATGTCCGTGATGTAGCTACAGAGGTAGCTTAGGCAAAGAGCACAGGTAGAGTGCTCAGCTTAAAAGCTCAGGGAAGAGTGGTCATTCCCACCAAGGCTTCTCACAGTGTTTTCTCAAACCTTTGATTCAAGATGTGACACCTGCAACCCTTACCTAAGCTGGCCCTGAGCCCAGGCATTCAAGAGCCTGGGAAGGGTAGGAGGGTGTGTTAGGGGCCTGACAGGTGGTGCTTCTTACAGCTGGTAAGCCTGACACAGAGTCCACAAGGGTTTGCTGCTCCTCTGCTTAGAGGAACAGAGCTCCTCACCCAATGGCTTAGGAAATTGTTGTGTGTTTGTGGAGGACACAAGGCTTCTCACTGAAGGAACTTGAGAGGGACCAGCAATGGGTGTCTCCAGGAAACAGTGCTAAGTCTGCTCCTCCTGAAGGAAGGGATGTGGGTGCAAAGCAGAAACATCCTTCATGAGGGAAGAAAAGCTGTTCATCCAAGAAACAAGCAGTATCTGAGAGAGCAGTTCACATCCACTCCATTCCCCAGCATCACAGGAAGCATCACATCTGCTCCAGAAAAAGGGCATCTAAGCTGGAGCTAGATCTTTAATGTGCTCATGTAACAGATACTTGTGTAAAACATGCAACACGTTGCATGTCCTTAAAAATCAAGACCTCTGCCTGCAGTGGCACTGAGGTGGGTACAAGATGTGCTATAAGTACCAATCTTGTGTTCTTTGGTTGTTTGAAGATTTGTTGTTATAGACGTTATCTGCAATGAATTGTTTTTTCTAACGTTATTGTTTTATACAGCCTAATTCTACTTGCCAAAACACGAATTTGTTGTAATTTTTTCTCTTTCTATCACTAACTTGCTATTGTAAAATGCATGGCAGCTTTAAAAATCAATCATGTTTTCTGAAGACATGAAGAGGAGCCACTGTTTAGAGGAGGAGAAGGAAACCTAGGCTGCACATCAAGAGAAAACACGTTGGCTCAAAATTCCTGCAGTGTACCTCAAATTCCTTTCACTGTGTGCATGGTCTCAGTTTTCGACCTTGAGTATGGCTATTTATCAAAGAGCTCTTGGTCTGATTGTGGCCTCTGTGGCGTTCTTCGCATTGTCCCTTGTCCTCTGCACTGTGTAAAGTAAAGATTGCTCTGGCTCTCCCAGAACATCTTCCCATTTCTTTCATCCTGCCAGTGAGAATCAGGTCCTGCCAGTTGTACCCTGAGGTTAGTAGCAGAATTAGCAGGTCCTAATGTGACCCTCATCCTTTGACGAGTGCTTTGCCTCATCCTATGCTGTCATGTCACGCTAACATAACATCCCTTTCCATTGCAGCAGAAATTCCACACAGTGACCTCCTTCAGCAGCATCCATGTCAGCCATAGTCCATCTCCCTCACACTTGAGCTTTCCCCATCCCTCTGTCCATAAGGTGAGGACATCCAGGATTCCCATTCTGCTTAAATAGCTGCATGATACTTTTTCAATACCGTTTCCAAACTGTAACTCTTTGGAGTGTTCTCTGCCAAAAGGAGGGGAACAGTGTTGCTTCAGGGCTCTTATGGCTGACACAAATAATCTAGTGTCTGCAGCTGGGTCAGCAGACTAGGAACACCCCAGGCAAGAGGCTTGTTAGGGTGTCTCCCCACATACCTACCAGTGGCTGCTGTCAGAGACGAGGTAAAGGGCTGGGCAGAGCCTTGCAGGCGTCCAGGCTGACCAATCTCTTACCCTGCACGGAAAAAACCACCCAACATGCAGACACGTCAGTCAGGAGTCGGCATCTGTCACACAAGGGGGTGGCTGCACCTGCAGAACAGAAAAGCTGGAGTTTGCTGACTTGCACCTACTTCTTATGCAAACACTTACAGATCTGCAATGACAAGAGGCAACTTCTGCCAGCACTGGAGAAGAGGCTGAGATTCCTCAGTTCTGCTTGCATTTGCTTCAGGGCAGATGTAGGAGAAATCTAGTGGAAACAAATCATGGCACACTCAAGAAAAGAAAAGGAGGAAAATGCAAATAGTACTGAACACTGTGGTGTTCACAGTTTAAGGTGCAGCTCCACCACTTTTCTTGACAGAAACTAAATAACAGAAAACCATGGAGGAGGGGGACCTCACAGGTGCTTCTTAACCCCTTACATTGATCTTTCCAGAAGAAGAAATTATCTAATTCCTCACAAGGTCATTGTAAATTACCTACTGACCTTAAGAAAATGTCCAGGTGTTCCAGGGACACCAGGACAGAATCTGGTGCTGTTATTCAGAACTACAAAAAAAAAAAAAAAAAAAAAAAAAAAAAAAAAAAAAAAAAAAAAAAAAAAGAAGAAACACAGTATTACAAACCAATCTGAGTGACTTGGCAAATGTGCAGGGTTAATTGCCACTTTATTGCTAAGGATGAAGATAATAAAATTGTATGGCTCCATTTTTCTCACTGTGTGTCAGAACTCCTATCAATTGCAGATGTAATAATGCTTCTCCTGAAGTAATATAGATATGTTCTTTGTGTATTTATGTGCTCTTTGTGTATTTTCTGCTTTCTGACTTCTTATCTTTTCCAGGTCCTCCACCCTTTCTCTGTAAGTGCTGGTGATCTTAATTTATCCTGTTGTGGTAATTAGTCACAAATGTATTTCTGTTCCATTCCCTTTGGAGAGGACACTTCACAAAGCTTCAGAGTAATCAGGAAAGTCATCGCAAGCCATGAGAACTACTTGCCTACAAAATAGCTATAAACTTCCCTTTCAAATCAAGACTGGAAAGGATCTTTCCTTCTTCCCTCCCGGATTTTTATTTGGAGGGGAGAAGAGATCTGATCCATTGTAAATACTGATTTATCATGGTAGAGATAGTTGAGATCGTGTGTATAATGTATTATAATATTTATTTGTACAGTAATTGTAATATATTCCCTTTCCCCCACTTTAAGTCTCGTGTAGTTGTCTGGAAAAAACCTTCTCACATTGAGTTGAGATGTGGGAGGGGGTTTGAAGATAGGGAATTAAATTTTTGGGGCTCTCAAACCATGACAGACATGTTCTGAGAAATACAAAAAAGTTATGAAAAGCTTATTTATATCGATATTACTGAAAAAAACCAGATACTACGTGCCTGCTCTGGAGGGAAACAGAATAATGGAAACCACACACTCCCTCCTGCCTCCACATAGTTGTGTGGCTTTTGGGACAAAGCTGCTCAAGCTTTGGAAGTCATGCTGCAAAAGACCAAGAACTTCATTGATCCCATAGCAAGTAACAATCCAGGGGCAAAGGAAGATCACAGAACGGCAGAGATCTTTCTTTATAATCTAAAAATTATTATAAAACAGCACTAAACCAAACACTGCAAGTGGATATATCTAGTTGCCATCTGGCTTCTGGAAAGACTGAGTGTAAGCTTTACCTCAGTTTTGTTAATCTCTACACAAGATTCGATCTTGTAACTGGTTAGTTTGTGTTGTTAAAGGTATAAAGTTCACTCTTTTTACCACTTTTTTTTTGCCTAAACCTTCTTCTTTTGATCCTTACTTCCTTGATGTCTCTTTTTGGCCTGTGTAAGAGCATACATAAACTGAGCATAGTTCATAAAGCATGATGTGCTTCCTATAAAGCATCCTAAGACTTTCTTAAATGGTCTAAGGAAGTTTCCCAGTGTTACTACTCCTTTCTCTGCAAACATGTGCTGCTTGTTCATCAGGTTAGGGTGGCACTGTTTTCTCAATACTGCAGAGCCATCCCACAAGCCCGTTAGCCTGAATTGGTGCTGAACATACATTTCATCCTAACTCATACCTGTTACCAAACCACTGAAGTTGATGCCTCTATTTGTTCCCTTACACCTGTGCTGCAGGAGACTGGACCTTTCTCATCAGTTGTTGTCAATGCTCATAGCTCAATTGACTTTGCCAATACTACACTTGTCTCCTTACAGGGTCTCTTCTGACAAATCATTCTCTGACACTGACTTTGTAACCCCCCATCTCCTCCTTGGGGACCTATAAAGTCTGAGGCATCTTGAGAAGACACATTTTGGGGCCTGGGCCATCACTTGGTGATGCACCTGCCAAAAGCTTGCAGCTACCAGTCACATAACAAACTAACTGCTGTGCAAGATCTCTGCTTTCTTAGAGCTGAATTCCAATGCAGAGATGTCAGTGGGACCAGTACAGAGTTGCCTGAACTCACCTGAGATACACAAGCACAGCAAAATTATCAGGCACTTGTTTTTTTCTTCTGCTTTCTGTGTTTTGTGAAAAAGTTTTGTCTTTCCTCCATGGTGGACTGACACAGGCTGCGGGTTCTGCCAGCTGAGGACAGGTGCTGGCAGGACACATGGAGACGGAAGGACTCGGAAAAGGACAAAAAACCCCTCAAACCTCTGCTCTCCAGGGAGGATGAAGTGAGTGTGGATTATGAGCCAGAATGCTCAGTAAAGGGCAGCAGAGGTTGCAGCCTTTACAGTCAACAGCACCACAGTGAATCTGGGAAAGGCCAGAGTGGGTATGAAGAGAACAAAGCACCATATTTCATGTCACCTGCTGCAGTTGCAGAAGGGTGTGAGACCTTACCACGCTTGATGCAACGGCTGTTCACATCTTTCCACCACCTTCCCCAGAAAGTTTCTATTCAACCATCAAATAGCTAAGGTCAGGTGCAGGTAAGGATGGAAGTGCTCATTTTCACGTTCTACAATACAATGCTCTCCTGCTGTGGGATGAGGGAGCTCCTTCTAGACCAATGCTTTGCAAACAGAATTATTCAGACAGGTGATATTTCCTGTGCATTATGAAGAAATAGGAGCTCATGGGCACTGATCATAAGCAGAATCCCCTGCAAACTGCTAGTGTATTAAAGAAATATTTTTCAACTTACACAGTTAGGCAAAAATGTCCTATTTTGAAAAACTACAAAATGTTCTCTCTGCAGGGAGATGTGAAGAGCAATTATGCTCCCATCTTTGCAAACATGGATTACAGAACTGAAAATGTATTTTGCTTTACAAAAACTTGCTTTGATTTTGTTCTAGTAATACTTGAGAATCTGCACTCCCAAATCTGCAAAAAGATGATAAAATATTTTAAAAAGGTAAATGTGTTTCCAAGCCACACATGAAGGCTAGCAATTGTTCGGTAATTCTATTTAAGCCTAAAATATTTGATGGCTTGGTGCTCTTGTCGTATTTTAACGGTATTTGCTGTAATCAGGCAGATTTATGTCCAGCTCTGTTCAGACATTCTCATTTTTAATCCAAAATTTGCCTCTTCATCCAGTAAAGTATATGCTGCTTCACTGTATGTCAGAAAGCAACTCAGAGTTCCTCCAAAGACAGTCTTGGCAGGAAGACTGTAGGTTCAAGTGGAGATAACACAGAGTCTCTTTTTCTCAATTCTCTGGACATAATGCCCACTAGGGACTGACATTAATGGAGAAAGGAACTGTATTTCCTTACAGGGACATTTCTTCTTGCACCTCTGTTTTCTCTCTGGTTCCCTGGTGCAAAACCCTCTGAGTTTTCACAACACTGCCAAGGGAGGCTCTTGTGCAGTTTAGATCCCCAGCATATCCTTCTGAGAAGACTCAGGAGATGAATCTCAAATTAGGCACTAGAAGACAGAGTGACCTAAAATCACAGGCTATTGGTAGAAATCTTGAGTCTTTGTCAAAATCAGCATCTACCAAAATAGCCATCCATGCTTTCTGTTGGCTGGATATTTAAATTCTGATTGATATTATAGTTTGTTTCACGCTTTCTTAAAAACACCTGAAGGGGAGGGGAAGTATAACCATAACTACTGAAATAAATGGTTGCTGTCCCCTGGCCTGTGACAGTAGCATTTATCTTTTCTACAGCCCATATGAGGGGAAGGGAGAGAAGTCTCCTGCTCTTGCTTAGTTATTTTCTGTCAAAAAAATCTTAGTATAATTTTTGTACAGTGAATATTTATAACTGTTGTTACTGTCAATATAATTTTTTGCAGTTACTGCACTTATTTACATTTTAATGGCCAAGTCAATAAAGATTTATGCACCTGTCATCTGAATTTTCCACAAAAGCAGTGATTGCTTAAAACCCCCAGTATCTCCTGCAGAATACTCCCCCCTCAAGCATCTTTTAGATACCTTCATTGTTTTGGGAAATAGTAGGCTAACCAAGTCTTAAAGACATAAGTCAAACCCAGTAAAATCTTGCAGCAGTTTTCATGTCAAAACTTCTGCATATTACAAAAGCACTTGCTCAGGAACCATTCTTTTTTCCATTTATTATTTTAAACACTGTCCCTTGAGCGGCAAAGTCTGGTTTATCACTTTGGTTCATCTCAGATGCACAAACTACATTGCTTTTGTAGCTTGAGGAAATACGCTGCTTAGCGTTGACCTTGTTTTGATTTTAATGCAGTGAAAGGTACAGTTCAGAGCCCTGCTTTGTGGGGTGTGCAGGCACACCATTCAGGAGGGACATGCTATGCTCCAACGTTCACTCCCATGCACACATTACCCCTCCTCCAAAATGTGAACTACAGAAAAGGAAACCTGAAGTCATTCCCTCTGTGCCTGCCCATGGTCTTGGCGCAGGAGTTCGGGCTGCCAAGGCACGCGTGTGCCCTCATTCTGGCCATAGTTTTCCTTAAGGCAGCCACCCCACAAGCCTTTTTTATCTCTACCCAGAGGAGTCCAGTGAGTCCCACACCACTGTTTCGCTGCAGAAGGGGCTCTGCAGCATCAGGTCCCTTTCCATTCCCAGACTAATGCAGTTATTCCTCTGCTGTCCATCACTTGCTGGATTTTACAGTGGGCTGGCGGCTGCAGGGACAATAAGGAGAAGCTGGCTCTCTCCAGAGATCTGTTCGCTCTCTGGGGTGTACTCTCACTCCAGGCAGAGTTGAGCCAGGTCTGTTTTAGCTGAAGCTCAGGGTCTCAAAGACGTAGAATTGCAAGGTTTCTGATCATTTTAGGCTGAGGTTCAATGCCTTTTTTTAGGACAGAGTTGAGATTTGAGGGTGAGGTGAAGCCAAGGTTAGGGACCAGGCTTCAGAAGCATCTGAGCTTCACAACCTGCTCATTCATAGATCATAGATCCTACTGTCTCAATGCAATCACCTGCACTGGAGCTGCAAAGAGGCACGTCACAGGCGCAGGGCTGGAGGAGCCCTGGCCCCTCGAATGGCTTCGGTGCAGAGCTCTTGCTCTTACACAGCCTGGCTCACCCGGACTATGTGGCTGTAACCAGAGCACTGTCAAACCTGTCCTACATGCCCTTGCTCTGGTCTCCAGATTCTTGCAGCTTGCGCACAAACACACATTTTAATCGTGACACCAAAAGATATTTTCTCCCGTAAGGGCAATTCCCTCTCCAGCTTCGACCATCCAGAGCCCCCCTCCCCAAGCCCCTAAGCCCTCAACCAACGCTTCCGAGCACCTTCCCGAGAAAAGGAGGAGGCCGAGGGGGTTCTTTCACTTCATCTTTCAAACCTTCAGCCGCCCTCCCCCCGCCTCACCCGAGATATTCCAGTAAATTACACCCCGGGGGCAGATCCCTGTGCCCCGCGGCCACCCCCTGGCAGGTGATATTTCAGCCCCCTCTCCCCGCCGCTCGGCGGCCCGGGGCGGGGGTCCCCGGGCGGCAGCAGGAGGCGCGGTGAGCCCGGGCCGCGGCGAGCAGGGCGAGCCTGGTGCTGAGCTGAGCTCACCTCCCTCCGCCCCCCCCCCGCTCTCTCTCCTCCCTCCCCCTCCCCTCCCTCCTCCTCCGCCTCCTCCCGCGCCCAGCCTGCAGCCGGGATCTCAGTATTATGGCATCGAGGAGAATGGAGACCAAACCCGTGATAACGTGTCTGAAAACTCTCCTCATCATCTACTCCTTCGTTTTCTGGGTGAGTGCGGAGCGGCGCGGCGCGGGCACACACCGACCACCCGGGCACGGCCCCGGCACCCCCGCGGCCCCCACCTGCCCGGGGAGGGGGCGGCGGGGTCTCCGCAGCGCGGATCTGCCGGGAGGGCACCGCCGTGCTGTGCGGGGACGGACCGTATCCGCCGGAATACATATGTGTATACTCATATATGTGTATTTATATATGTATATATATATATATGTATTTATATTTTTATATATATGCACTTATATATATGTATATATACATTATATATATACGCACTCATATATATATGTATATATGTGCACATATTTATACACACACACATATATATATATTTAAAGTAATGTTTTTTGCCTCTTCTCGCGCCGAGCACAAAGCCCCCGAGCCCCCGCCGGGGAAAGTTGCAGAGGTCTCTCCGACAGTCGCCTTGGCCGCCCCCCTTCCCCGCTGCCTCCCTTGGCCAGCCGAACCGGGGGGGAGGGCTGCAAGGCGGCCCCCGCCCGTGTCCCGGCTGCTCCCGCATCCCTGTCCCACCGCGGGGCCGGGAGGTGCCACCTCGGTGCCCCCCGGTCCCTCCCCGGTGCTCACCTGGGCTCAGCGGGTGCTGCCCTCCGCCGCCGCCCGCGGTACCCGCCGCGTTTCGTAACCGGGCTCAGGCTCCCGCAAACCATTTTCCTGACCCAGATGCATTAATTGAGTTGCCGCGATTGACTGACGGGGGAGCCGGGCCGTGTTTTTCAGGCGACCCCGGGGGCTGGGAGATTTCGCAGCGTCCCGGCCTGTTAGTCGGTAGATCCCTGGCAGGAGCCGCGTATCGCGGCGGCGATCGGCAGATTAAAGTCCTTTTAATGGCACGCGGTGACAACACACGATAATGGCCCCGCTGTGCGCCGTTAGAGACCGTGATCCGCACATCATCGATACTGTGCCCTAAGGCGCATTTGTCACTTCCTAGCAAGGGGAGCTGATTGTGCTTTATCGGTTTAGTAGCTTTGTGCTATGAATAGTGCCTGCGAAAAAGGGTGACTCAAATTTTCATCATTCCGCTTAAAAATGCATTCTAAACAAAGAATTGCTTATTCATGGCAATAACGTTTGACAGCGTTATAGTGAACACTTTACTTCAGCTGTTTCAACTTTAACTGTTTTTGGTTTTTTTTTTTTTTTTTTTTTTTTTTTTAAAGCATAACCAAAATGCATTTTGCTAATCCATATTTACAGCAGTACCTCTGTGTTATTGACACCCCCCGCTCCCCGGTATTTAACGTACACCCCCTCCCCCTTGTTCTTTAACAATTTTGGCGGTAGCCACAGCAGATGTATTTGATGACTGAAATGGATAAAAAGCCAGAATCATCTGTTGTTTGTTTTTTTTTTTTTTTTTGTTGTTGGCAAGTAGATCCTTCACGCTAGTCTCAAGGAGGTAGGTTGCTAAGTTTATACACTTACCACAATTTCAAGACTCATCCTTTCCAGTCCTCAGTTCTCACTGGATCTATAAGAAGCCCCTCTTCTTCCTGTGATGAATGAGCAATTGCAGAAGCCCTGGCAAATTTATGGTGTCTTTTAAAATTGTGTCTTCTTTTAAAAGTGATTGCTGTGTCTGCTGTAGCCCGAAAAAACAGAGGACTTAGATCAGCATGTCTGTTGAGCTAGCACATTTCACCAGTGCTAATCTCATTAAAAAAGAGAGAATTGTACATTGAGCCAAGCAGCTGGCTAAGGGCATTTGTGCCGTAGGCTGTCGTGATGCCAGGCCAGGTTGACAGCTGGGACCTTGTAGGGTAAATAACACAGCTGAGCTCTGGTTTGGGCTCCAGCAACACAGCTGTGCTGGTGGGATGCTCTCCTGCAAATTATTTTACTCTGAACTATGTATCAGGCTCCCATGTGTCCTGGTCTTCTCCAAGGGCATGGCCCACGCTTCTAGTTACTTAACATTTGGCAGCCCTCAGAGTGTTTGTCTGCTTATCATCTTCCTTGAGCCCAGAAAAGGAGGAAGAAATAAACAGTTGGAGACAGAATCCTGCGACCATGAGCAAAGGAGAGTGAACTATCCTACTTGCTCTTTCATCTGGTTTCTCAAGGCACCAACCTATGGAAACCTTGGCAGATCTCAGTGGGGGAACACAGCAAAGGACTTTTAAAGGTCCAAAATATTTGACAGCAGACCCTAAATCTTCATTAGTTCTTCCATGCTAAATAGAAGAACAAAAACTAATTCACATGTTCGGCCCTCTGCTGAGCTTTAAATCCAAATAACATAAATTGGAGCAGGTTACAGTTATTGCCGTGAGTAGAGCAGAAACCTAGTTCACTCTGGCCATATGCTCCTTTTCTTTTTGCAGGCAAGTTTGAGAGCTGAAAGATGCATGGACTTGCCTCAACCCTCCCTCCACTATTTTCTAGGGTGTTTTTTGTACTCTCACAATCTGCTGGCTCCAGAGCCAGTGTAACTTGAATTTAGTCCCTGTGAATTCTCAGAGCTGAAAATATGGGAAGGATTCTATTGGAGGAACTATTTTAAAAATTTATTTCTTGGACTGATCTAAATACCAGAAGGAAACCATGCCAGCACCACAAATGGCTGGTTTGTAAATTTTCATTCTGACGGCTTTCCCACATTTTTTGGAGAGGCTGCAAGCTGATTTCTGAAGGAGAAAGCCCTGCGTTGCTTAGCTGCAGTTCGTATGGATTTTTTTTCTAGCTGTAGGGATGGAGTTGTGTTATAACACAGGGCAGAAAATTGTCCTGTGACAGGGTGGTGTGTGGTGGCAACCCTTCGGTTATCAAGCAAGTGGTTACGGACTCTGATGTGAGGGGACAGGGGGAGAAGATTTTTCTGTGCATCCAGTGAGCTGTTTTGAACCATCATGAAGGACTTCTCTTCATTTACATTGTTTATAAATTAAGAAAATCAATGTACACAGAAAGCTCGTATAACAAGTGATTGTCAGGGTTAAATATGAATTGCATTTGTATCAATGGGAGAGGTGCATATGAGTGAAGGCTTTTAGTATGAGCATTGAATGAGGCTCCACTGATTACATGGGAGCTGCAGGACCGTAATGAGGAGACATGGTTCATTCAGATTTCATACTGTCTAGCTTGTTCCTCTCCAAACAGGTTTTATTTAATGGTATTTGTTATTTTGATAGCTTTCTCTCCTCCCCCTCACCGCACTTCCCAACTTCTTTCCGTAAATGTATCAATATGGTAAAAAAATTCCATAAACAGAGATAACAAGCTTTTTATGTGCTCATATATATTGTTATTCATAGAACATATTAAGTGCCTAAGGTTACCACTTTTGGTCCTTAAGGGATGTAGTAATAAAAATTCAACAGCCATTTTTTTTCCTAATCAGAATTCTGTACTGAATGCATCTGATTTGGAACTAAAAGATTAAAAAAAGGTGATAAAAGCTCTGCTTGGCTGTTAGCTATTTTTATTTTTTTTCCTTTTGGGTATCATAAATTGCTTGCATAGAAATCCGAGATATAACCTGTCTTGTTTTTAAGAGAAGATGAATTTTGGATTAGAATGCAAAGTGATTTTTTTTATATAGGAGAACGAAACCTTGAAGCACCTCTCAGTACCTTGTAATTATCTAACACTTAAGTAACCTTTTGTCTTAAAACGTGTATACTTAATACTTCATTGTAGCCTTCAAAATATATTTTGTTACCAAATTAACTGCCTGCCTCAATGTGTTTTGGGAGGGAGCTTTAAGGGTGCATGCATCGGTCCTTAAAGTCATACGGCTGCAGAAAACAGGTTTCATCTTCCATGCAAAGCTTCTTGTTGCCCCAAATAGGCACTGTAGCAAAGTGATTACCTTCCAATTTTAGGCCCTGTGAGACCCTTGGCACTCAGATGAGTGCTTTGTGTGTGCTGTACAGCTGGTATTGGGGTTTCTTGCTGTTCATTAATGTAATAAAAGCATAGAAGAAGAGTTTCCATGCAGACATTTTTCCAAGGTGAGTCACTGATCTGAAGAGCACCTTCCAAAGTCAATGTTTTGGAGACTGCATTAGGTTCTTGGAACTTGGCTTGTCTTTTTCAATGTGACAAAATCTGAACTAAGATAGCTATTTGCAATAGTGGTAGTTTAGTTTTCCAAGTTTTTATCACTTTGAAAATGGACCTGTGCATCCTGGTAGGACCCCTTGGAGGTTGGCAAGTGGCAGGAGATCCGTGGACTGGAGCGTGGTGGGACAGGTAAGTGTTGCTTGGCTGTGAGGCCACAGCCAGCGCTGTGATTTTAAACCAGGTTGAGATTGCATGTTTTCTTGTAGTTCATCTTCTTTTAGCCAGTTCCTCTGGTGGCTGCGGTGTCACTGGTGTGGAGGTCAGGGGGTCAGAAGGTGGCCCATGAAGGATGACGGGCTCAGGCCCTCTCTAGCATGGGGGGGTACTGGGAGAGTTGGTATCTCCCTTGAATCCCCCCCCCCGCCCCCCCCCCCCCCCCCCCGCCGTTTCCATCTTCTTTCAGGCTTCCCGAAAAGGAGGTCACTGGTGGGGGGCTGTGAGTGGCTGTGGTGTTGGGGCAGGCAGCTCCTGATCCTTGTGCTGTGGTGGTAGGGTGGAGGCAGCATTCACCCACCATTCCGGGAGCTCACAAAGCCATTTTCCGGGAAATGCCTGAGACAAAGAGCAAGTGGCCTCCCCTGTAACACAGATTTATGGCTCCACTGCTGACCCATCTTCGAATGCAACCTTTTTAGCCATGCATTATAATATGGGATTAAATTTGCGTGTCCCTTTGAGTTACTAGTGGCATTAGTCATCTTCGCTATGAGTGTCCAGTTGGGTTGCTGAAATTACTGGTTTTCTCCCCAGAAATTCTTTGCAGTGCTTCTGCATTATTTTCTGCATGTTTCTGGTCTTTTTAATACCTCTTAAAATGCTTATATTCTTTCTTTAATTTTTTTTTAAATATCTGTTAGCAGATGGTTTTAGAGGAAATATTTTAGGAAAATTTTAGCTTTCCCATGTGGCTTAGATTGCTCAGTCTTTTGGTGGTTCCACTGACTGCAAAGTCAACATCGGAATACTTTTAGAAAGAAATGTTATTATTCATACATAGTTACCTGAAATTAAAAAAAAATCACACTCTCAAAAATGCAAAAAATCCCTCCATCATGATGGATTTGGAGTGCTCTGTGGTTTAGGCACAAGTCTCATGCAGTTGCCTCCTTAAGTCAGTTGTTTCCTGTTCTGCTCACATAATGATATACATGAAAGATTAAAGATAGTGGTGTTTTCTTGTGAGTATAGCCCAAGGTGAATTCTGTTGGCTAAATAAATAACTGGATTTAAAAAACAACAAATAAAGGCTAGATGGTGTTTTAAACCATAACTCCAGAGTCAGTTTTCTAAGTTTCCTCTTGGGATATGTACCCAACTTGGCTTAGTTTTGTGGTGGTTTTGGTGGGATTTTTTGTTTTTATTACGGTGTGGTACAAAACCCCCCTGATGACAGTCCTCACAGATGAGATCTATGCCAGCAGGGCAGCTCCAGACAGTGTGGGTAAACAGAGAAGATTATGACTTTGATGTGTGTTCCATACCTAGTGCTGGGGCTGTTGTTGCCAGCATGCAGAACCTCTGTCTGTTACCCCAGGGTCACCTATGGGTGGGATGTCACAGGGGAAGCTTCCATGTGGCATGGATTGTGCCTTCAGACATTTCTAGGACCTCACTGTTCCCCTCCTTGGCAAGAAATTGGTTTTAAGAGTGTAGTCAGTTTGCCTATTTTGGAGCAGAGAAATTGGCAACTTATTGCAGTTTTTGCGTTGTCAGTGCCCATTCACGTTCTGAAAATTGTGTGTTTATGGTACCAATTAGCACTGTACACTTCATTTAAATGAATAATTGACTTTGCTGTTGGCCAAATGCTCCTTCTTTTTTATTTGTGTAACTATGGTTATGTCTCAGCAAAGTACTTGCTAGCCCTTGACGTTGGAGTTTGTATCTGGACAGTTCTCTAGTTTGAGGATGGTAACTTTTTCGCATTAACAGGTCAGTTTGGACTGGTGAAGAGGGACAGTGGGTGACTTGAAGTATTTCATTTGTATTTGGGAAGACACAGGATGCATTCACAACAAGCAGTGGCAGAAGCCCTTGCTTTTTCCAAGGGGATGGAGGTGTGGGGGAGTACCGCTGTATGTGTAGTAAACACTTGGCTGTTTAGCATTCACTCCTGCTCTAGCCAACCTGTCGTGTGGCCTAAACAGTGTAAATAGAAATTCTAAGGAAGGATGCTGGGGAGGCCTTGCTATCACTTTTCCTTTGAAACAGCAGTAGAGTCCTTTTTCTTGGATTCTGGTTCATACCAGCCATGCTTGTCAAGGAAACGGAGGCAATTATTGTAGGTAAACCAAGGGAATTTAAAATGGATCCAATAATCTGATTTTATCTGTGGTTCTGTGACTATTTATCAATTCCTTGTGCTGTCAGGGATCTAAATTAGGTTACCTGGTATTGTTAGCTGTCTCCATCTCTGGATTTTTATCATCATTTCTTCAGTCGTTGTAACTGTCCTACAAATTTACATGCCAATGAGTTAATAGATGAATATCTAGAAAGGCTCTTTGTGCACCGAGCTTGCAGAAACATCTCCTTCAATCTTTCACATGCATTTTAAGCCTAGAGATTCTTGTTACATAGATACCAGCTTTACTGTAATACTGAGTCTGTTCTGCAGCTACCAAATTTGCAGTTTTCAGCCCTCAGTGTCTTGCAAACCTTGGTGACCGAATCTTTAGAATAAAATGCAAGACTACAGAGGTGACTGTAGGGAGCAGACAACAGATACTGTAAGGCTGTTTTTATTTACATAATGTTATTTCTTTGGGCTCACCCTATTAATTAACATTTAATCATCTCTCAGAGAATAGATCCTTCACTTTGGTAGAACGTGCTTCTTTCCATCTCAGCTTTCTTTCTCGGTGGTGAGCAGATGGCTTATATATATAACAGTTCTGGGTTATGAGAGGGAAGTATTTAAATTTCTCCTGTACTAAAGAGACTCTGAAGCATGGCACACTTGTGTCTTACAGGATTATCATTACTTCATAGCTGAGTTGGTTCTTTGAGCTCTGGGAGTAGGCCACAGGATTTTTAGGAGCTGTAGTAAAAGAGTGGAAGCAATGCTGCTAATACTAATTTTGCTGTAATTTCCATGTAGTGTTTTGCAAGATGTTTTCCAGATGTTCTGTTTTCATCTATGTGGTTCTGGGGACAGTGCTAAAATCTTTAATAGAAGCAAGCAGCTCCCCTTCCCTCTCCGTTTCTTGCCTTACTCATCTCCCTGAACTTCTGTGCTGAGTTCAATTGGTGACTGGTCACTGTGTGATACCAGCAGTGACTCCCTCCCAGAAGTCAAGCAGGGTGCACCACAAGGCAACAGCCTGGGCTGGGAAGAAGGCTGAAATTGTGCCTTACCATCATTTATTTCTGAGGTTGTGTTTGGTTTGGGTTGCATGTGGATTAGGATGGATCGAAATGTTCCTTTTGGTTTTTTTTCATATTCAAGAATTTTTTTTTAAGAGTTTATTTGCTAGGAGAATGTGACGATGTGAATAACAAGGCGACGGATTTAATCTGCAAAAGTCTGTGGATCTTGGGAGCAGACCTGAGGAAAAGGCTGACATGCTTATATGGTGCTGCAGAGAAGGAGGAGAGGAGAGAGTGAAACTCTGTAAATATCATAGGAAAAGAAGCACTTACATTTCCCTAAAACTGGGAAGGGAAGGAAGCCCCTGCTGTATGACCCATATAACCACTGAGTGCCTTAATGCCTTTGAACAGAAATGATCAGCCTCAGACCTGCTGATGCCACAGGATTGAAGTTGTCAGTGAAGCTGTCAAGTTCTTCAGGATCTTGTTCCTGACCAGATTACAGGCACTGCTCTGAAGAATGCACTACACAGGAGCAGCAAATTGCACTGAATTGCACCAGCACAGTATGTTTGTAACTCACTCTTAGCACATGAGAAATTCTTATTGCGAGGACCTAAATACAACCCCTGCAACTGAAGACTCAGCTGCACCATGCTGATTTAATGACTTGATAAGCTTTAAAAGCCTTTATCATTTGGACAGAGTTTCTGATGGGTTGGCCTCCATCCGGCAACAACTTTGAAGAGTTTAGAAAATTCCTTTTCAGCATATTTGGCAACCGAATATGAAAAACTGCTCATTTAGTATATTTCTAAAAATAAATGGGAGCTATATCACAACCTGAAATTTTTTGATAGAGGTAGTCTTCTCCAGCATGGAAACTGTTGGTGACTTGGGTAATCCTAAAAAAAGAAAGTTTTCAAAAAAATGAGAATTTTCTGAATATGCCAAATAATGTTGACGTTCCTTTTTTGGAGCTGGACTTGGAACTAGGCCAGTTTATGGCATCACTGGTTGTATTGTGGCATAAGTTGCATCAGTCCAGTTGGGCAGCACCAAGGCTTCAAAGTTGTGTTTGGGGCTTGGGGCCCAACTGGAGGTGAAAATCTGTGGCACAGTCTGGGGAACTGGGGTCTGCAAGCCCACGCACTCTGCAAGGATAAACACCTGGATTGCACTTTTTTTTCCATTTTACAAGGTAACACAAAGGTGTGTAGCAGTGTGCAGCTTTCCTGGCCTGTCCAGGTGCTCTACTCTGACCTCACCAAAGAAAAGGTGAAGGACACTGTATACAAATTATGGCAACACGTGCAAGTCAATTCCAAAAGCTATTTGAGATGGATGATTGATGCAAGTTTCCTACAATGAAGGTGAAGGGGGGAAATCCTTTGATTTTTGTTGTATTCCCTAATAGTTTCCTGGCCAAAGCATTTTCATTTCAAATAGCTACGGCCACCACTGAATCAAAAGGCAGTCAAAACACCAGGAATGTGTCAGGAAAGTTGTGGCTTTCATTCTTGCAAGAACAGATCAAGATAAAAGAGAGGACACTTTCCAGGTATGCATTAACAGAAAGAATAGGTAGAAACTCAATCCTCCTGTATGCATTTCACTTCAATAGTACTTAACATCTAACTGTCTCTAATTAGGCTTGGAATGGAAACATAATTAAGTACATGTCACTTCTGTTTCTCTTTGAAAACAAAGAGGAAACAAATACAGATAGGTTACCCTCAGGACCTTGATGCTCTTCCTGATGGCTGCATCTTATGGCTGGGATCATTTTTACAGGTGCAGCTGCCCTGTGCTGAGAGTAGGACTTGCTGCTCTGCATTGTGCACTGATTGCAGACAGAGTGATTTGATTTACCTGCAAAATAATGTCTTACAGGAAACCAGCAGCTGATATTTTTGCATGTTTAGAGATTCTCTTTTTTTTTTTTTTTTTGTCATTTACAGGTCATTGATTTACAGGTCATTGATGCTATGGTAGAGCTGCTTTTTTGTATAGCTGAGTCTTTGAGTCAGTGTGGAGTTGCTAGTGAATGCTGAGAAGAGTTTATCTGGAACTGAGTTTTTCTTTCCAGTTACTTCAGGAAAAACAGATGAGTTAAATAGTGCAGATCAAACAACCTGGAGGCTTAAATTGATCTTTCTTGTCCCAGAACAACTTATAGACCATCTATGCATCACCTGCAGACCTCAGGGTTTTGGTTTTTTTCTGTGTAAGTGAGGTCTAAAAACTCCCAAAGAAAGAACCAGGACCTTAAGATGCTGGGAAGCTGACTGTCAGGAATGTTTCAGTATTATTTCTTGGAACATAGAATCCAGGCCTCAGTGTATTCCTTGCTTCCTGTTCTCACAAATCAGGAGTTGATGCAAAGGGATTGAAGCAGGATTTTCTAATGGAAGGTCACACCTTTTAAAAAGGAAAAAAAAAGCAGTTCACAGGGATGGCACTACAGGTTTATTTCTCTCATGGCAGGTAGGACTGGGGGCACTCATGGCCTTTCTAGGAGGCAGCATGACTTTGCTGCATTTACTGAGTATGTGCAGGATTCCCGTGCAGCTTTCAGAACACTTGTGCAAAATTCCCTGGCAGGATGGGGCAACCGTTGTTTCTGCCCATGATCTTGTAAATAAATAGTTTCTTATGGAAAAATACTCCTTTTTAAATCTTTCCCCTTTGGTCTTCCTACTTCAAAATGATGCTTTCGCTGAGCAGCCTCTGGGCATGGAAAGGACAGCTCAGTGCCCTCTGTCCCCTGCTCAGCACTGAATTCACCCACCCTCAGCTGTGTTTACTGGCGTGGTCACCAGAGGTATATGCAAGACAGGATCATGGGTCCTTGTCCCATCCAAGGTGGTCCCTGCTACAGCCAGGGGACAGCCAGCAGCCCTCTGGACAGGGTAAGAGCACTGCCAGGCTCTGCCCTGGGGCACGCAGGTGTGGGGTGGGCTGTCCCACTGTGCTCACCAGCCGGTGAAATTACAAGCTGCAGGAGATGTGCTGGACCAACCACTGTGGGTAATAAACAGTATTTCATCCAGCACTTGTGTTATTTTCAACTGAAACCAGAAACAAAAATAAAACCTCCCACTTCCAGGACTTTTGTGTTTTGTAAGCAACAACCAGTTGCTTTCTGACAAGATGGTTGTACTTAAAATAGGTATGTCTGTGGTAGAGAGAAGTTTCAGCTCATGAAGTTGTTCAAAATGATATGGAAAAGTTGCCTCGGTTTCTGTGAGCTGGCATGTGTGATATGCATGCAATACTCTTTAACCCAAACCAAACCTGGTCCCTGTTGTACGGAAACCTGAGCATGCTGCACCGTAGCTATTTTTTAACAGAAGTATCAGATTTAAAGTGTTCCCTCCCCCCCTCATTCACTGACCTTACATTGCTGGAGGACCAGACAGGATTAATTCCTCTGCTGTGAAGAATATCCAGTATTAAAGCAAGGAGCTGGGCTGTTTCCTGGAGCAATGCAATCCCTAGATGATCAAGAATATAACTGAGCCACAACCGCTTAGTTGATTTCTTCTCCTAATTTCATTAAGTGCTTGGCTTTCCAGTTTCATGCCAGATATTAGGCCAAGATGAATTCCTATTTTTTCCACCACCATGGAATATGAAAAATACAGAAGACTGCAGACCTCTAAATCATCTGAAAGATGTTGAGAAGAATTTCATGCAAAGACTTTACTCTTAGGTAATCAATCAAGTTATTAATGATATAAAAATAAGAGCTACCTCATCAGTGAGGAACAGAGTTAAGCAGTTTCTGTTCTAGTACCATTCACCAGATGATCAGTTGTGCACCCAAGCCCAAGTCTGTATGGTAATAACATGTGCCCCTTGAAAACATATTTGCTCTACATCATAAGTTAGTGCAATACTGGCAAGCAAAAGAATATGAAATAAAAAGACATTTTAAGAAGAATTACATCAGGGGTTGATAAGCACATGTGGGTGGACTGAGCTTTGTCCATATGAAAGGTGTAAAATATCTTGTAAAGTCATCTTGCTCTGCTTAAAATCAGTGGGAAGCAAATATGACTGAACTATCTTATGCAGTCAGGCAATGGCTTTTGAACCCCCCCGTGCTTAATATTCATGTTCAGTGAAACAGATAGTTATTATTCCCATGGACTTGGGATTGGGAGCGTTTAGCGTTCATCCTTGTGTTGGATATCTCAGCAGGATAAACCCTGTTTCCCTTCCTCTGTCCAGATGGAGGATTTGTAAAGTTCTGCCTCCTGTCTCTAGACGTGCTTTGGTTGCCCTATGACGTTGCAGCATGACATCATTTTGCAATATGTGTGATCCTCTGACATGTCAGTTCTACTGAAGCTTAGATGGACCCTAAAAGAAGTAGAATTGTGTTTAAAATTTTGCAGCTTCTATGAAAACAAAGCCTAAACTGAAAAAGGCAGGAGCAAAAGACTCAATCTGCAGATGTGTTGATGAGCTGGTGAAGTAGTGTGAGATCACACGTGAGTCAGCTGGTAGACGAATAAATGCTGAGTATTATGGCTGGCACCAGAGGCCATGGCAGAGTGCACATTCTTTGGATTAAATTCAGAACAAAATCAGAAAAAAATGGACTCTGCAACCTGTATGTATGTAGGGTGGATTGTTTACAACATTGACAGATGTATATTATGTTTTCCTAGTTCTTAAGTGCAATTACTTATGGTAAAACTAAACCTTTGAATTTATTTACCAGTGGTAGTCCTTAAAAAATAGAAGTTGGCATGTCCATTTTATAGATGGAGACATTGATGAAAATCCAGCAGTGTGTCTAAGGAACGGTTTGGTCAAATTTGGCGCAGCTGTGAGTCAGTTATTTTAAGTCCTTGACTGTAATTATTACATTGTAGCACTCACTTTGACATCTTATTCCAATTGCAAGAATAGCAAGCTGAAATAAAAATTGCACTTTACCTGATGTTAAGGCAGCCTGTAGAGTATGGGAATGTTTCTGAGAAGTCTAATGAATACTGCTTGTGGAGAGAGATTACGATGGAGCAGCTGGCTGTATCTGAACTATGGCATTGGTGCACCGTGATGTTTCTTTATTCTGAAGTTGCATATACATAATGCACTGGAAAAAGCATTTCAGACTACTCAATATCCTGGGAGAGGGAGCACTGCTGCTGGTGCGTGAGAGCAAGTCCCAAGGTGAGTGGGCTTCCACAGCTGGGAATGATCCACACAACTTTCCTGGCTTCATAGATCAGGCAGGCCCTTTTTTTTTTTGGGGGGGGGGGGGGAATTTCTGTCATGCAGGACATAGGGGGGATAGTTTTCCTTCATGGAAAAACATTCACATTTCTGTAGATGGATATCCACCTTTATTTTGAAAGATCATTTGGCTGAGAAACAAGCATGTTGACACACTTATTCAAAGAGAGACTTGTTGTGCCTACCTAAGAATGTCCTCATCCTTTTTGTGCTGTCAGTGATCTGTTATCTCCATGGTGTGTTCCAAGTGTAGCAAGCAGGATCAAGTTTAAATGGTGACCTCCAGAACAAGGTGGTTACCCTGCTGCAGACATGAGGATATGGAGAAAGGTTTTGCTAACACGGAGCTCTGGTTAAAGACCAGTGTGCAGAATTTTGTCATGTGTGGATTCTGCCAGATTCTGAGCGAGATTATCAAGTGCTCCTATGAACTGGACTGACTTCTTAGCTAAAGAAGGATTTCTCTCTAGTTTACTCACGCAGTGGATAGTATGACAGCTGCAAAGACTTATTAGCAGTTTTGTTTGTTAAATTTTAATCACACAGCTACAAAGTACAGTCCGTGTGGTGATGGTAGCTCTCAG